TCAAATAATTTAAACAATACTTGATGAGTGAATTTTCCCTTTTGCCCTGGCAGGATTTTGTTCTTCTGGTCAAAATTGGAACACTGCTGTCTTTGCTGTCAGATTGGGTACAAACTGAGAAATGCTCCTGTCTCCCAAGGGATGATCTCGATGAAACAGACTCTGCCTTTAACTTAAAGGAAGTTTTTGCACAGGGATAAAAAGGTAGAGCCCAGAGAAAGGATCAGTATTGTCTGAAAGAACTTGCTGAACTGACAGAAATGCTGCACTCATCAATACAGTGACTCCAGCCCTAAGTGACTTGATTTAACTGTAATTAAAAGTACCCACATGTGACTAGTGTCCACAATATTGACAGCACTGCCCTAGATGGCCACGCTGATTTGTTTATTGAGCTCTGGGAAGGGCTTGGCAAAGAAAATGAAATGCTGGTTTATACCCAAAGATCAGCGTGCTTCAGCAAGTGTGGGGGTGGGGCCTGGGGTGAGAGTCCAGGACCATGTCCAGCCCCACTCCTTGCTGTTCAGTAACCACAGGCATGTTAGGGGGCCTCCTGGACACTGATTTCCTCATCACCATCATAGTAAGTACAAACTTATAAAATCATCATCAAGACACAATGTGATTAATACCTATAATGTTCTTCAGAACACAGCAAAATATCTTGAATTCTTAGCACTTGCAGGTAACTTTTGTGGCTAATTCCCTTCGATCTTCTGATGACTTTATACTATGGTTACTCGCACTGTCATTGCTATTCCCATTTTAGAGACAAAAACACGGAGGCTCAAAGAGGCCAGTGAAGTTCCCAATTTCCTCCAAAAGTATGGGAAGGCAGCACCCATACTTTTGCCAGAGTACTTTGCCACTGTGCCAAATGACCTCAGCAGCAAAACCCTTTTAAGTGCCAGCAGTGATAGACTGCAATAATGGTTTCCAGTTGCCACTGAGCCTTTCCTCTTGAGGAAAGCAGGAACTAGACACATCTTTTAGTAAGGACTGCAGTGGAGCAAGGAGGGCTGGCTCTGGTACCCACTGGCTCAGTGACACAGCCATGCAGAAAAGCACATCAGCAGAACCCCACCCCAGCCTCTCTGTTTGCCCTGGCTCTTATTTTTCAGTTGGAAGGAGCCACTTCTTGCTTTTAACTTCTTGATTTCTGTCTGTGGGCTCTGTTCACACTGTGACAGTGGTAGTTCTGCGAAGGGACTGGCTCCCTACAGTACCAAGTGGACCATGGTCTGCATTCATTCATTGTCTTTATAGGTTTCTGGGTCCCCTGAATGGCTGCTGGAGAGTTTCTGGTAAGTAATGTTGTACCCCTCAGCAGAGTTATTATTATTCATGTCAAATAACAAACAAGCCACAGACATCATAGGAAGCAGCTAATAGGATGTGGATAGAATCTTCTAGTAACGATCAGGTGAACACAGCTCTGAATGACTCCAGAGAGGGCTGGAGCACCCACTGAGGGCAAAGATAGTCAAAACCTAATCTGCAACCCCTACCAAAGACAATGACCTTGTCCACGTGTACACATATATTCAAGCTTAAATTACTCTGCTATATCTGAGACCACAGAAAAATCTTCATGGGCTGAGAATGGCACACCAAGATCAGGTTTCTGGCCATAGTCTCCAGTTTAAGAAAGGAGAGGACATTCACAGAACTAGTAGTTTAAGATGTCCCAACAAAATCTGCATATATACTGCCAAGTAATGTTTTTTCAACAACTCTCATCAATCCCTTCATTCAAGAAATGTGTAGTGAAGGGTTATTATCTGATTATTTAATAAAACATTTCACCAAAAGCATTACTGGGTAATTTCAGTGAGTCACCCATCATCTGATCTAATTTTACAGTTAAGTCAGAGAAGCTTGATGTAGCTGGTTGGTCCTAAACCAGACACAGGACTTTCTGAAACACCCGTCTTATAGGGCTCCAGTCACAAGAGAAAAGAATGAAAAAAGAGGTACTAGGACAGTTCACCTTGGGTCCCTGAGAGCACTGTAGGCCCTGGAATATAAGAGAAGTGCTAGGTTTGTTCAGGCAAGGGGCAGAGAGAACGCCTTTAGTGGAGAGTTTGAGTTTGGCAGGAAATTGTCTTGGGCTTCTGGGTCTCTGGCTTCTCCAATATATTCTCCAGGAGGGACTGGATTTCTGAGCAGACTATCCTGCCTTTCTCAGTTTGTAAAACATGCTTCCATCTGTCATCACATTTGATCTGCTCAAGTCTGCCCAGCCTTTATGTTCCTGTGATTTCCATTTTACAGACAAGAAAACCAAAACTCAAGGAGGAAATAACTCACATCAAGTTCAAACTGCAGATCATCCAACTGATCTGGGGCTCAGATATAGTCTTCCTGTCTCCAGCCATTCTCACTGTAGGGGAATTCTCCTGCTCCGTCTCAGAGAACAGCGAATAGAGGGGACTGATTGAGGCCTAATAAAGGTAACTCTGAAGATTTAATCCACAGGTGCTGATTTTGTTGCTTTTAT